GCGTTTATCATATTTATTCCCCGTCTTCTTGGATAATTTCCCTGTGGACTAATTGGATGGCAGAGTGAAAGCCCTGTAGTTATTTTGTTCCTTTATTAGACTTAATGAAGACACAAAATTAGATATTGTATGAGAGAACAATCACACACTGAACTTTTTTTTTTTTTTACATTTTTGAAAAAAAGAACTTTGGCAGCCAGTTTCCCGTGAAATGCAATGGTAGTGTTTCAGGCATCGTGGGATACATTTATGCGACTGAAATTTGACAGATTTCAAACTGTATATATCACTAAGCATTCGAATGTAAAAACACCAACCTTTAACCATATAACGCAACATGCCTAGTGTAATGAGAAGAAACACAACTCTAATCAAACATCACACTGTAATTACATGTGAAGGTTCACAGAGGGACTTTCATTGTTTCTCACCTTAAATTATAAAGTGTTAAGACTCAATGAGCTAAAGGAAGCCATCAGGCGTTAATGTCTTTGAGCAACTGCAGTTAAGTCAATCTCTTTTCATTTCAATCATACGGTCGATGATAATGGGTCTCATCGCACATTGAATGATGATTTTATTGTGTGTGACACGCTCTGGGTGGGAGATGTGTGATTGAGACCCTCTCCTTTAGCAGATGAAGTGATACCGATTAAGATAATAATGTTCAGTATGCTTGAATGTAGATGAGAGAGGCCTGAAGGGACAGCAATCTGGTCTAATTGGTAAATTCAGCTAACTGCAGAATAACAGAGAAATCAGAATGAATGTGATTATTCATGCATGTACACATGGGCAGTGTAATTACAATCAGGTGGGTCAGATGTGCAAAAAAGATTTATTATAATTATTTTGAATTGATTTATATGATTATCTGAACTGCATATGCAAATTCTATTCATTGCACAGTCAAAAAAGATTCTGCACTCAAAGCACTTGTAGCTTGCAACTATTTGTATCTCTCTGATTTTATTTAAATAATCATGTTTTTAGAATGCATATCTATTCAAATTGCTTTGGATCAACATAAATCTGTGAAAATCTAATTTATTCACTAAGAACATGGTTAAAATATTGGAACAAACAATATTCAATTAAATAAATCTCAAACAGTTGTTGATGATAAATTTATAAACCTGGTTATTGTGGGTTTGAAACATATTCAGCTTTCATTGTTACATAAATACCTGTATCCGTTTCATCGAAGTATGACTGACAAAATTGCATTACGTTTATCACATTATTAGCTGTATTCATTTGTTAAAACAATGTAATCCAAATTGATATTTTATATCCAATTTAAATGCATAAATCTTAAATTGAATGTGTTTTAGTGTATGCAAGTGTCATTCTGATAAGGATCCTCACAGGAATAACTAACAATACAAATTAAAAGACTTAAGTAATAACTTAAAAACTAAATAAAAAAAAACAAAGATGTTTTCATGATGAAATAAAAAAACAAAACCATTTCATTTTTACATTTACATTTGTTTTTCATCTGAATATTTTGCATTTTGCATGCCATCACTATTACCATTAATCACAATTCACTTTAAAGGGGTCATATGATGCGATTTCATTTTTTCCTTTCTCTTTAGAGTGTTACAAGCTCTTGGTGCATAAAGAAGATCTGTAAAGTTGCAAAGACTAAAGTCTCAAATCCAAAGGTGTTGCCAAGTCCGCAACATTGGGCTACTTTAGTTTTACTGCGGAATTGGGCTACTTTAACACTGTTGCCGCGGGTTGTTGTTCATGTCCGCGGGTTGAAGCGACCCCAATAACGTGATATTTAGTCCCTGGAATGTGAATTTTACTTGAAGATCCCCACCGAAAAACTTGTATTTTACCCCCGGAATGCGATTTTTACAGGGGAACCCTCCTCGAAACGCGATTGGACTAGTTTTATTGCGAAAACCTGGCAACCCTGTTTATTAGTGCCACCTGCTGTCAAGTGAGTGCGTCTCATTCAGACCTGCTGTTTTTGTTTCGTGCAGATGTTTTATGTAGCAAATAAATAAATAACACCTAAAGTCAGACCATTCTGTTTTTGTTTTAAATCCTGAAATTAATCTAAATCAAATCAAAAACAACTGCCCGTGCAGATCGTGATTAAAATGCAGTGGTTGCCTCTAATTTCAAATGGCTAGATATTTTTGTTTAAAGCCAGTTTGTTTGTTATAAAGCAAATAGCCAATAAATAAATTTGCTTAAAAATCGGTATCAGAATCCAATTTGCTAGTTAAAAAAGAAAAGAAAATCTGAATTCTGAATCAGCTATGATCGGAGCATCACTAATTACAATACTAAGTAAAAGGCCTCAAATTTGAAGTACAATCTGGGATGTCTTTTTCTATCAATTCTTCAATAGGTAGATCTTGTCTTTCATAAAGGCCGAGGTCAGGGATCTTGGGCCTAAAAAGGTTGGTGACCACTGCTTTAACAGGTAATTAAAACGTCAATATTACTTTTTTTTTTTTTTACCTCAGTTTTCTTTATGCAGTTTCTGATACATTGCATGCTTTTGCATTTTATCCTACTTATGCACAAAGACACTTTCGATATACTTCTCTCTTTTTCTTATTCTTGAAACTTCTCAAATAAAGTGCTTGATATTATTAATGCTAAGTTGCTTTGAATATAAGTGCTTTTAAATGACTAAATATAAATGTAATCTCAATAGTTCAACCTTGTTATAGGACAAAAATCCAATAGTTACATATTTTTAGTGGAAAAAAAAGTCCCTCAGTGTCTGTCCTGTCACTTTGGGTCTGAGGTAGAAAAGTATTATTTCTTGCATATTTAGTCATAACCTTTTCACGAGAAGTGATTAAAACACAAATCCACACAGCATTAGCATTAGCATTTATGTAATTTTACCCAACCTTTGTTTTGTTTTTGCAGTGTTCATGCTTCAGGGTAAGAATAAAAGCATTTGTGTTTCTTCTCACAACGTGTTGTTTGTTTTCAGCTACTGCGGTGAAGTCTGTTTTTAGTATGTTTTTTTACTGAGTATTTATTGTGGTGTGGTTTGTTTAGCCGGCAGGGGTGTGATGATGACAGCTCACCCCCACCGTTTCTCAAATGTCAAACCTTTTAAGCTTGTGTCTCTGTTAATACCTGACACTCTTCCAACCAAATAAAGTTTCTCAATTTTTTTTTTTCTGAGGGAATTTGGTTTAGGAGCTGCATCTGTCAGTTTAAAGCAAACTCAATGTCATTTTAGCATGAAAATAAATGAATATAACCAACCTAGCCTGAAAGTGGGTGCAAACACATGAACACAAACACTAAATTAAATTCAGGATATTGCATTTCATTCTGGAGGCATTGGTTATTTCCCAAACTACTTGTGTGAAATATTAACTAAGGATGAAATACTTTATTAAAAAAGGCAAAAAAGGTGATATGAAAATATGAAATACACCACTGATTTATAAATTGGATTCTGAAAATCTGAAACAACCCTTGCGATAGGCGCATAGACGCAAAATAGGCTCCAAAGAAACAATCCTAAATTATTAACCTTCCATTTTGTATTTCTCAGTCGACTGCTTTTCAATTTATTCCTCATGGTTTAAAGGTTTTTTCAGGTCTAGCCTTCCTTCTCATTACGGCCCAGTACCTTTGTGGAGTGACCCGGGAATGAGCGGTCAGCTTCAGGACGTCCACGGGCCACTTGAACACCACAGAGAAAATTGGGGGGTCATTACGGCCCTGAGAAGAGCCCTCGAGGCTTCTGGGGAATGGAATGGATTGAGGGTATTGTGTGGCAAATGACTGGAGTCTATCGCAATAGACAATGTCAAACCAGAAGATTCTGTCATCGCAGATCTCTTTCTGAGAGTTATTGATCTGTGTCGCGCACGGACGACAAACGTTCAGTTCTTCACACACACAAACACACAAAAAAAATCTGGTTTGTGGGAATGTGGGAATATCCGAGCTTTAAAAAAGAACAACTTGAGCCTTGAGGTTTGTTTTGACATTATTTTTGGTGACAGTAAATCAAAGACAGTTGCATACTGTTAAATATAAGCTATGGTGATGGTTTACAGCCTTCACTGTGGCTTTTAAGAACATCCAAACAAAACTGCAGAACACGTCCTTCACCTGGAGTCCCAGCATCATCATAATGACCTCATTACCATTTGATGATTTTAACACAGTTGTCATGGAAACCATCACACTGTTGCAGTTTTAAAGTGACAATAATCATGGTGCTTGGTGCCAATATTATGGCAGGTCAGATTGGTAAAGTCATGGTATTAGAAGTATTACAGTAATGTTCCATTCAGAAGTGTGGGCTTGTTAAGATGTTTAAATTTTTTTTTTTAAGAAGTCTCTTCTGCTCACCAAGCCAGCATTTATTTGATCAAAACATGAATATTGTGAAATATTATTATAATTTAAAAGAACTGCTTTCTATTGTAATATATTGCAAAAAAAATAAATCCTGATACAAAGCTGAATTTTCAGCATCATTACTCCAGTCTTCAGTGTCACATGATCCTTTAATGCATTTTTGCTAAAAGAAAAAAACTAATTTTTGTTTGTTTGTTTTTTCAAATTAAAAAAAAAATTCTTAACAACCCACAAACTTCTGAATATTAGTGCAGGTGGGTACAAAGAGAGATCTGCAAGGTGAACAAAAACTGATTTGATTTAGCACAAAGAGCTAGATATGATTTTTTTTTTTTTTTAAGTATCTAGATTAAATCATATAGTGGCAAGATTGCACTGAGAATGCAATCGAATGCAATTAAACTCATCTAACCTTGAGAAGATAAAAACTTAAAGACCCAAAGAACTTCTAGTTTCTTTGCTTTGAGTTTGTCACAGGCATGAATCGTGATTTGCTAAAAGCTATTTCTTGCCATAAGAAAGCCTTTTATGTATGCTTTAAAAGGTATATTTTTATTCTAAAAAGCATTTTATTGGACAAAAACATTCTTACTTCAGGAAAATGTCAAATGCATAAAAGTTCATTTTCTCAGTGTTTAGGAGTACATTAGCATATAAATGATGTCAAAGCTGATATACATTAACAAAAGGTCCAATTTTGAGATCATGGGTTTTTTTTAAGTGTGAGAGAACCTAAGTGTTGAGTCTCCTGTGATTGAAAAAGGGCTCCACCGTTGAGTGGTGAAGATGTTTCAGCCCTCAGATGGAGAATCTTCATCTGCCTGGATGTTCTAGGAGCACTCAGCGAAGTACTTGGAAGGAAGGACAGAGCGACACTCCTTCACCGGCAGCATCGCCAGCCTGAAGCACATAAATGCACATTTACTATGGAGCTCAGAGCTGGAGATCAATCACTGGAACAATCCCTGTGCTCATACTCACATCTGAGCGAGGAACCTCTTCTTGGGACTCAAGCCACTGCTGGAAACAAGATATTTGAGATAAGTGATCATATGTGCATTTGAACCTTTGCGACTGCATGAGTGAACTTACAACTTGTTGCTGCTTCCCGCCAAAATCTTCAAGCAGGCGATGTCATCAGAGATGTCATCATCAACGAGAGCTTTCAAGAGAAAATAAAGACATGATGACATAAAAAATAGCTTGAATATATCATGGAGTATTTGTCCTCCACTCACCGCTGCACTCGAGACCACAAAGGTTCAGCGATGCGCTCGATCCGGGATCGCAGGCCTCGTGGTCGCTCAGCTGGAAGATTCCCAACAGGTCCCAGGCGATGACATCATCACGCCCCTCTTCCTCCGAGCTGTCTCCGGAGCTGTCCTCCTCGGACATCGCCTCTGGACCGCTTCCAGACGAGTCTGCGGGGATCTTCTCTGGGAAGAGACCACGGCGCCATGTCCAGAGACGCTCCTTTGCTCCTAGTATCTCAGCGGTCTTGCCCTCAGGGACAGATCTTCCACTTCTTCCCTTGGGAGGACTTTGTGGTTTAACAGGGATTATGTGTTCCTCTTCCAGTTTCTCATCATCTTCTTCCTTTGCTGGTGGTTTTTCCTCCTTTGGTTTGGGGGGAATTTGGAATGCAGGTCTAATCTCATCTTGGATGCTGGTGACGAGGCTGGTGTTGAAGCCGGAAGTGTTTTCCACATTACAAACAACTAAAAGAAATAAAATGAATAATTTGCGGATGTTTGGTGATGTAAAATATGAATGGGATTTGAGAGCTACAGCAGAGGGTAGAATTTTTAGTGAATAATGGCATAAATTTGGGTGTTTTCCTCACACAAAGATGTTACGACTACTTTAGTCATTTTCATCCCGATTTCACAGGAAAACGTGTGAAACTTGAATTGTAGGAAAACATCATTTTATTAATTTTTTTTAAAGGAAAACATGAAGGTCCATCCCTAAACCTAACTATCAGTGGGGGTTACGAAAGTAGCTACAAATGAGATTGTTGAAATTCATATGATTTCGACCCCAATTCGCCAAAATGTGAAATTATTTCCAATTTCCATGAGATTGTGTCGTGATTTTGGTCATTTTTAGAGCAGAAAAATTTACTCACGTCTAGCGATGAGTTTGTCCTTGGTCATTTTGTCTCCAATGGATCTAATCACCTGAATCTGAGATGCTTCCAGCTGCTCCTTCAGCTCACATTTACTCATGATACGTCCCTCAGTCACACTGAACACCAGCAAAACCAGAACCAACGCCGCCAACATCTTCACGGAGAGAATGCTGTGGATCAAATACGACACAATTAACAGCCTACAGAAAATAAAGAAATCCACAGAAAGTGTACGTTGTTAAATCAATATCCTCTTTAACAAGTCCCTTTCAAACGATGTTCATTTCTACCGACAGCCCGCACAGGCTATTGTATAACGCTAACTAATTGCCAATTTAACAACAACAAAATATTGTAACAAACTAGCTTCATTTTATAACATAAAGACCAATTCCCAGCAAGGACTATAACTATAATGATACAGTTTTTATAATCGTTGTAATTGTGTGCTCGAGCATTTAAAGCGGCTGACGATAACTGCAGCGGGCGCTTAATGGAACGTTATCATCCGTTTAACCCGATCTCATGAAAGTGCGTCTCAATGGCGCGATTTTGTGTTTCTATTTGGCGTACTATTTATATGCAGAAACGGACTTTGTCGTGTATATCAAACGCATAATGGGTAGGATTAGGGGTGTGGGGAAGATGCAAATTATATATACGCCAAAATGCGTATCCTATGCATGCCAACAAAGTGCGTATCATATGCACGCAAAACTGCGTATTATATGCACGTCAAACACGTGCATATCGCATGCACAGCAAAGTCCGTTTCTGTGTATTAATAGAATGCAAAATACTTGTGCTATTGATACATTTTCATGAGACCGGTGGGCCGTAACCAAGCGGCAACCTCCCGCTCTCTCTCGTGAAGCCAACAAGGAAGTGACTTAAACTGTAATTCATCAACTGGCCGCTAGAGGCTGGCTGCAAAAGAGAGTCAATCCCATAGACTCCCCATGTTAAAATGCCCAACTTTACAGCAGAAAAAAACATGTTTACAGCCTGGTTCAAAAAATGATTTTGGTCTCACTCTTCGGAAATCTACGGGTGACGTCACGGACACTACGTCCATGTTTTTATACAGTCTATGGCCGTAACACTCACTATTCCTTAAATTCAAGTCCTGACATTTTTTTCCTCACAATGTCAGATTCGGCAAAACTGTCCTATGGTAAATGATAAAATCGCACGAAAAAAAATGGATACAAAATAAAAATAAAGAAACGAAAAAAGTCCCAAAACTTGAAAAGTGAACAAAGACAAGCGAATGCGTCAAGATGTTCTGTTCATTCCTACTCTCATTTTTGTTCTCAGCCAAATCAGGTCCAGAAATGGCCAGGTTGTCCTGGGTGTGTATTTGAAAGAAAAGATAAAAGGAGAGCCACGCTGAGCTTAAGTAGTATAAGTGGGCAGATGTTTATGTGCTGATAACAGCCCAGCAGACGTGAGACACATTTATAAGAGAAAGAAAGAAGCTTGACAACTGCTTCACTATCAGCCCTTGTCAGACACACACAGGGTGACGCTTTCCTCTGTTTCAGCCTCAAATTAAGTCACTTTGTGGAGAAAAACACTTTAAAACTAGCTTCAACTGACACATTAGTGCTCCAAATCTTTTTAAAGACTCAGAGAGCATTTAGAAAAAGCTACATAAAGTACATGTTACATAAACCACCACTACTCAAAACAAACGAAAATGTAATTAAGTGCTACTTGAGGACACCCAGTGCCTGCCAGAATAAATAAATAATGTTTTTATTAAATATCAAATGTTCAAATATGAAAAGCACAACTGCTTTATCCTTACCAGAGGTTCTGTTGGGAAGATGCTTGCTGGCGATTTGACACTGGTTTGCTGGTCGTTCTTATATACATACTGTGACCTGTAATCATATCAGCACTGTACGCTGGTCACACCAAGACTAATATTTAGGACAGGCAGGTCAACTTCTGTCACAAAAGCTTCATTCTTTCGCTGTTGTTTACCTTTCCTTCAGTGTACAGTGTACTTAAAGGGTGTTTGGATACTCCACATTTTAAACTCTAGCTGTCACCTGATAAGAGCCCCTTTTAGTATGTATGTGGGTTATTCAAATACAGAGACAAGAACCACTAATGCAAAGTGTCAATAATCACACCAGTACAGTATCACACAATACACATATACACTTCTGATTCAAAATGCATAACTAAGTTTATAAGTGATGGTTGGATATTTTCCTTTAGTGTTTTAGTGGTACAACACTTGATGCCAACCACAGAACTGAAGTGTTATACTTTTGGTTTTATTGCCTCGAACATTCACAGAATCCCTCCTTATGACAGCAGTAGAGCATTAAAGAGGCTTTTGTGAAGATGTTATCTGCGTCCGTTGCTCTGGAATGTTTTTGAACCATTCGCACTGCTGAATTAATGATCAGGCGTTTTGAAATTTTGTAGATGATTACAACATCAGCAAACAGACAGAATCATACAATCACATTTTTTCCTTTTTTTCTTTATTTTAGAGAACAAAAAAGGTTTTAGGTTTTATAAGTGCTTATAATGGACAGAACTCGAATAAACATTGCTCAATAACCAAACTGTTCTTGTTGCACCAAGTCTGACGTCAATTTCTGCTGGCAAAACTCTTAAAAATAAAGGTTCTTTATAGGCATTTATGGTTCCATGAAGAACTTGTAACATTTATGGAACCTTTCCACAAAAGTTTATAGTGGTAAAAGTGGTTTATAGTGGTTGTTTACACTCTTAATAATAAAAGTTCCAAACAGGAGTTTTCCCAGTGATGCCATAGAAGAACCATTTTTATCTATCTATCTATCTATCTATCTATCCTTATGCCATTCTATATATCTATCTATCTATCTAGCTATCCTTATGCCATTCTATCTATCTATCTATCTATCTATCTATCTATCTGTGTTTATTAATGTACCACACTATACATATATAACTTATATAACCTTTATTTTAATAACGTTTCACTAATGTTTCATTCGTTGTTTCTCTCCATATTTCTTCCTCATCATCTTGGCTGCAGGAAAGCAAACACACGCTGCAAATCATCCTCTGTTGTGTGTTTATCACTGGCAACAATCTCAAGAACAGCTTCTGTTTATCTTGTATCAGTGTGCTTTATGAGCTGTTTGCATTGATTTCTAGTCTGCACGTCCAAAACTCAAGTGAAGAACTCTAAATATATCCCTCTTCTTCAGTTGAACTTGTAGTATAAGTTATTTCTGATTTTGTCTGTTCCACCACAAACACACATACAGGCTCTATTTATACGCACACTCAGCCTCTATATTTTACTTTAAAATAAATGCCTTAATATCTATTGTTATATAATGCAATGACATTCAGATATTTATACTTTGCTTTGACAGCACTTGTTTATTTTGGTGCAGCTCGCTCTTTTACTTTGTAAGTGACATTCTCTGGAGGCTTTGTCTTGGGGACCCTGCGGTCTGAAGGTTAGCTAAAGCGTTGTGATTTTAATGTCCTGTGACTGAAATCTTTAATAATGAAGATGCTCTTATGTAATGTGTGATTATTTTGATGGCGTAGGCTGAGAAGGCCATGACAGCGATACTCCCCGAGGAGCTGACGCACCTGTTTCAAACACCTTGAACTCCTGTGTCCCTCCGCGGCAGGAACACTGAGTAATCGACCCTTGCTCTCTGTCTCTCATCTTCATCACAGTTAAAGGGATAGTTCACCCAAAAAATAGCATTCAGTTTGATTCTGTATGCCATTTTGTCCTGTAAAAAAAAAAAATCCAAAATGAACAAAATGTCCACTTGTCTGAGATTGTTGCAACTCTTAGTCATTTAAGTGTAGGAGAAACACTTGGTTACACAATCATGAATAACACAATCAACAGTATGTGCTGCTGGTGTGATGAAAGAGTTTGGCTCAGATTCAAACACGAACATTCATCTTTTAATGACATGTTTGACGTTATTCATCTAAATGAATTTTAAAACAGATCTGAAAAACATGATCAGCATAAATTAGGTGTATGAATTGCATTTTAATGTTTTAACGTTTTCCCCCCTGAATTTTTTTAAAACTTTGTTCTTCTTTTGAAGCATGAAGCGATTCTGAAGAACATGGTGTTTGTTCACGCAAAAGCTGGCAATTCAGTCCTAAGTGTTTTTCTAGGGTGTTCACGTTGGTTTCTAGGTGGTTATTTACGCTCTCTGTGATCTTCTGGTCTCTAGATATGGCTCGGGTCCCTCCTTCAATGTAAATCTGGTATTTTTTTCACCTGTTTTACGGTTCAGCGGGTGAAAATCATAAGCTTGATAAAGTAACAGCACCCCTCTCCTCAAAAACAGCATTATTTGAGCTGTAATTCAATGCACTTCCATTTAAATACTTATGATTATTGTCCGTCCACCTTATTTTTCAATGCGGAAGTAAGCCGTATTCTGTGAGTGTGCGAGACGTCCGGATCATTAGCCGCTGTAGGGAAATAATGAGAAGAACTAAATGCAGTAAATGGTAAAACTGTTTGCTCTACAAACCAGTGTATTCATAATTAAGACATTAAAATAATATGTTAAGACACACCAGTTTGCAATATCAAGCAGCAAAATGAGCTGTTTTGTACAGCTAAAAATAGCTGGAAGCAGATGATACCCGTAGCCAGACACTTTCAATTTACAAATGCTGCACTGTTATGGAAAAAGTAGTTAAAGGTTAAATATTAGCGTCCACACCAACGGACGATAACGTTCTGTTTATTATAAGCGCACTTTGTCTACCGCTTTAAATGCTCGCGCTCTTTCCAGTCGAGTGGATTGGCTGTTGGTGTGTTGTCGTTCATCAGCTGGGAAAAAAAATCATTCCAACTGTAACCTTGCGCTGTGTCGTTATGTAGTTATCCACCTTATTCTTTCCGTTAAAATGGGCGCGGCCATTTGTACATTTTATGGGTCTTGCTTCTGGTCTCATTTGCTTCCAGCTATTTTTAGCTGTACAAAACGGCTTTCTGCTTGATATTGCAAATTGGCTTGTCTTACCATATTATTTTAGTGTATTATCTTAATTATGAACACAATGGTTTGTAGTGCAAACAGTTTTATACTGCACATTCTTCTCGCTATTTCCCTATAGCGGCTATAATGAACCGGAAGTCTCGCCCATCGCGATCAGGAATAAGGTGGATAGTTGTGGTCTTTTAAATTTAGAGCCATTTTTAAATCTTTAATGTTATCGTCCTTATTGTGAACGGGCCTCAAAAAACCGCATTCAAATTCATACCACTGGCACAAGCACCACAGATGAATTAGTCAGTTTTTAATTATTCCGTTTTCAATTTGTAATTATTTTCAAATTTGTATGCAAATCCCCGATGTGTCGATTTATGATGTTTCTATTAATGTGAGTCGCCTACCGTAAATTCACATTCAAAAGAACCAAAAGCTGCTTAACTGTGGTTGTTTTATGACAGAGGAAGTGGAACTAATCCGACTTTGATTTGCATGTCAAGGTGCAAAAATAACAAAGAAGAAAAAGAAGATTTCATGACAAGCACATAATGATCGAGAACAACGGTACAGCGAGAACAATTGTTAAAAAAAGGAATATCTCTGATTTCTTACCTGTGTTGACTCTCTTTCTCTCTTATTGAAATGTAAATCAATAAGGTTACAAGTCAGTTGGTATTTCGCATACTACAATCAAACTCATTTCCATATTAATGAGGCTGTGAGAATATAGAGAAAAGGGGAATAAAAACCAAACTGAATGACCGCTTTATAGGAAGAGAGAAAGAGCAAATAAACAGAAATGGTGGTGGGAGGGAGTGAAAGACAAAGGAGAAAATGAGGTTTTGAAGATGAAGGAAAGTGAGTTGAAGAGGAGAGAAGAGGATGAGAGGAATCATAGTGAAGAGAGGATGAGCTGGACATTCAGCACTGAAAACAACTCATGCCACACACAGAAATCCGTGTATCATTCGATCATTCGTTTTTTGATTACAACATTAAGGTGAGTAGTCACTCTAGTTCACACAGTTCCAATAAATTGCGATGGGTTAAATAAACTCAATAAGCAGACAGACGCGACTACAGTCAAGCGCAGAAGTGCACAGGAAATAAGCAGCAGTCATATTTAAAGCAGTTTAAATTAATATTGAGTACTGATTGATGTTCACTTGGATTTTTTTCCCCATCGAGGGGAAATAACTTAATACTCTGTCATTTATAGTCGTATGGTAAAATGTATATTTTTAATTGTGTAACGTTACGTTCAAAATAACTACAAAATGTCATGCCTTTGAAAAATAAAGAATTACTAAATAAAAACAGAATGCACTGCTTTAGCGAGTCTCTGTGTCCTTGAGCATCTTTCTGGCGCATGCCACAAACATGAACCACAGGGAATACTTGTCTTTTAAAAGGCTTCATTTAGATTATTTGACGTTAAATGCATCATATAAGTCACTTTAGAATAAATCACAGTAGGCCTATGTATCATGGTAAAAAAAAGCGACTTTACAGTCTGGAAATACTTTAGGCTATAGCAAATTATTTCTTGGACCCCCTATCACTTTAAGAACCGCTGGTCTACACAGAAGAAAGACCTGTCTAGACTCTGCCCCAGTATGAGTTGTGTCGAGCTATTCATTAGTCTGTGGTGGTTGCGTGATTCTGCGGAAGAACTGATGAAGGCATGGTTTGATCTTCGGCTGACCAATCAGCAGAAAGGGGCGTTTAATTCCCGCCCACGTGTAGAAATCGAATATTCAAGCTGTTTATTCATTTTTCCACCCATGAACGAAAAACGAAAATTTAAGATGAATTTTCATTTTTCGTTTTTTGGAAAAAAACAAAAAGACGAAAAAGGAGCCGTTTTCTCATTTTTCT